TCAATAGGGTCTTCAAAAGCATTGCCTACTACCCTAAATATACTGAACTATATCCCCTTGGGTAAATTGTACTGAGTCATCACTCGCCGTCAGTGCTACTTCTGTTGGTAACTTTAATGTTCCCCTGCAGGTTCAACAAACCCTTTAAAGTTCAAATTAACCGCTGGATGGGCGCCCTTAGCACCGTGAATGAAGTAATGGATTACTGGACGAAGGTTCAGAACCTCTGGGTCTACCTGGAGGCGGTCTTTGTTGGTGGTGATATTGCCAAACAGATGCCTCAAGAGGCGCGTCGGTTCACCAATGTGGATAAGGCCTGGGTCAAACTGATGGAGCGAGCTCGTGAGAACCCTGGTGTGGTCTCCTGTTGCACTATGGACTCCACTCTGCAGGACTTACTTCCACGAATGCTGGACCAGTTGGAGATGTGTCAACGTTCCCTGTCTGGTTATCTGGAGGGCAAGCGTCGCCTCTTTCCACGCTTCTTCTTCGTCTCTGATCCCGTTCTACTGGAGATCCTTGGACAAGCCTCTACACCCGAGGCCATTCAGCAGCACCTGCTAACAATTTTCGACAGTATGGACCACCTCAAGTTCAACGAGTCCATCAGTCGGGTGTTGGTTGCCTATTCGGCTGATGGTGAAGACTTGCCGGTAAGTATTCGTTGAATTTTAAGGACAGTCTTTTGGGAACATTGCTTTAATCGGATAGCTGAATTTACTACAAAATACTACTCCCTTCATTGCAGTAGACCGTTTATTTAGACTACGGTTGGACCAGGTGAATATTTCATAGTGGGACTGCAGTGGACGTCTTGTACGTTGTTATGACGCAAACGCCTCGCCTTTTTTAACCATTGATATGTCATGAATGTTTTTATGCATTTTTGCATACCAAAACGACCTGTAACAATATTTACATCCTCATTAGTTTTTATGCATTCCTGTACCGTTTCAATGGAATTTTTAAGGCCTTATGTCATTTGCTCCAAATATACTGACAGATATGGCTCGCACACATTTCACGGTGGGCAGAGAGCAGCCAATGGCTAACCAGAGCGGCGCACATCCACACTATCTTCATCCAGTTGACAAAATTTTGAAAAATTCGCGGCCTCGGTGGGAGTCGAATCCACACAGCAGGGAAAGCTTTTGCGCAGCCAACCCTCTAGCGTTGGACTATGGGAGTCACCGTCAGCCGTTAATTCAATCACACTTGGATCGATTTCACCCGCCCAACTTACTGCTCGTATGGAATCCACCGTCACGGAAGCGCAAGCTGACTGCCCAGGCAGGATTTCATAAGCAACTATCTAGAATCCACCAGACTGACTCCTAGGCTCACTTAATTGTTAGGGGAGTTAGCAGCTTTGTTTAAATCAGTTGACCCAATTGACCTAATTGGGCAGTCACCTTGCTGTTGCGTACTGGTGGATTCCATATGAGCAGTAGGTCGGGCGGGTAAATTCGATCCAACTGTGATTAAATTCACGGCTAACGGTGAGCCTCGTAGCTCAGTGGTAGAGTGTTGGCTGCGCAAAACCTTACCTTGCGGTGTGGGTTCGACTTTAACCGCGGCCGCGAATCTTCCACAAATGGGTCAACTGAATTAAGCAAATCTGCCAAATCCCCTAAAACACTGGGAAGTTTAGCATGCGAGCCCCTATTTCCCATATGCAACATTGTTGTTTGCCTAAAGGTATATTAACTTCAGATGAGCTTCAAGGTAGGGGATTAGCAGACGATCGGGGAATATTCTGAGACCCGCGAGCTTCAACTCTTCACGTGATGTTCCTTAGATCTCAGGGTTTTCGATCGAGTTCGCATCTGGCCGGAGAGACACGTGTTCGAAACTCGAGCGCGGCGGCAATTTCCGCTGCTACGCTGGAGCTGACCTACCACCGCCTGAAGACGCCCAAAAAGGCAGAAAAGCTTCGCGGCTTGTGGTCTCCGTTTGTCGGTAAAATAACATTGATACGATATAGTGTTCAAAGTCGGTGCGTCGAGATCTCCGTTCCCCGTTCGCAAATTTTTTTCTGACTAACTTGGAACACTGATAGAATCTTTTGCCTCTAAACTTGCTATCCCCTCCGTTTAGGAGGACAGAAGATTTTATTTTTGGACTATATCACAATCTAAGCGATATGGGGATCGCATATGGACTTTTGTAGCCCCCCTCTAGTTCCCTGCTACTTGCGACATACCTCTTCATATTGCTCAAGCAATGAAGTACAACC